AAAGCCCCGATTCCACCTAGCAAACTACTGGCAGGACCATAGCCAATCTTGTTATACATTTGCGTAGTGATCAAGGGAAATACACCACCGAGCATGTTACGGCAGAAAGACTGAGCAGCAAGTGCTGAGCTAGCATAGCGATGATAAGTATCCGCCAGATAATTGAACGTGGCTAGATAAATCGAGAAGATGCCGATGGTAGCAATACCAATAGAAATCGCGGGTAACACCCAATGGGCACCAGCGGAGCTAGTCCAGCCAAACATGAACAGTCCAACCGGCATGCAAGCGCTCTCGACGCAAGCAAAGTACAGTCGACCTTCGGGCGAGTTAGATGTCTTCCCGTACTTCTTTGCGATTTTCTCTTGGTAAACGGAGAGGATGGTGGCGAGGATACTTGCTATGCCCATGGAGGCGAAGACGGCGTTGGCTTGTTGGATGGAGAAGCCGTAGCGGTTGCGGAAGATGAGGGGGATGGCGGCGAGGGCGAGATAGAGGACAGCCCAGGAGAAAGCAACCCAGAGGGAGAACCAGAAGACGACGGGTTCGGTGAAGAGAAGGTGGAAGGGACGGTAGAGAGAGATGGCGATCATGGTGCCGAGTGAGGCGCGTTCCTCGTCTGAGCGGACTTTGAAGCGGAGACGCTGGGAGATTGTGGAGCCAGGCTTCTCAGCATCGCGGACGTCGACGCCGAAGTAGCCTGCTTCTTCGCGGGCGGCGTACCATTTGTTTAGGCACTTTGCTTTTCTGGAGAGTAGAACCGAGCCTCGTGTTTCTTTGAAGACGACGCAGATGAGCGCAACCATTATTCCGCAGGCTATCGTCTGGACGTATTGGATCCAGCGCCACGACGTGTTTTGCGCAATGAAGCCGCACACCAGGGGTCCGAAGGAGGTCCCGAATAACGCTGACCCGGAAAAGACTGCCATGGGCGTGTTGCGATCTTTGGTGTGGTATATGTCAGATACCACGCCGCCGACCATGGTAGAGAAAGTCGAGCCGCCAATGCCTAACCAGAAACGCGCAACGAGTAACCCAGCGTATGATTGTGTGAGACCGGAACCTAGTTGGCAGATTACGAAGAGAAGGCCAGAGAAAAGGAAGACGGGCCGTCGACCGTTGATCTCGGAGAAGGGAGCGAGGACCATGGGAGCAACGGCAAAGCCTGCTGTAAAGGTTGTGACTTGTACCAAAGCAGCAACATTGCTTATGCCCCATTCATTCCTCAACTGTGGAATAGCTGGGTTCAACGCTCCTGCCGAAAATGCGGTGAGAGTGGTGATGAGGCATGATATCCACACTGTTATGCTCTTCCTTGTCTCCGACCATTCGAAGGGATTGGTGTATTTGACAAGATTCGGAGGCGGAGGTGGCGGTCCTTGGTTTGGTTCTTGTGGATAGATGGTGGTTGGATGAGGAAGTTCGGTATCAAAGGTGAGGTACTGCCAGACGATCTCTGTTTCTTGTATGTTTTCTTGCGATTTATACTGTCGGTCACTGTCATAAACCTTGCTGTCTCTGTCTTTTTCCGAGTTACTGCTCGATTCAATAGCGATGTGATAACCTGTCTCTTGTTGATCAGTACCCCCAATGCCCATTTCCATCGCTCTTATTCCCGGGGTATTATCCGGGGATAGTCCCTCCGGATATATGTTAGCGGGATGGATTGGATCAGTATTGGGGTTCATGTTGTCTTGAAGGGCCCTTTCCGCGGCCCAGAATCGTGTAATAGAGCTATAGCACCATGGGCGTTGAGGACTGAGAATGGAGGCAGACTCGGCAATTGATTAAAGATGTAGGTAGACCACATAGCTCCAGCAGCGCGGGTACCACGGGCTCAACCCACACGTGTAACCGGTGTGCATATTGAGGGACGAATGAACGTTGAGCCGGGCTCTGGAGATATCCGTAGGCTCTGTCGCAAACGGTTGGTATTGGTCGGAAATAGCATGAATCAAGTGGGAAGCGGGCTCGCCAAGGACGCCTCAAGCTAACGGACCGGTCGAGGCAAAAAAGATACGATGCATCATCCGAAGATGATCTCATTGTGGTTAATGGTCCTTCGGAGAGGCCCACATCTCCCCGACGGGTGCGGATACACCCAGCCTTCTTTCACATCCGACGGAACCTATTCCGTCGGATGTGGATTGAGATCTTCTGTCAAGACATTAGCGGTCAACAGCTCGATTCTATTCAAATATAAGCCTACTGAAAGCGCATGATTCAGGCGCTGTGGCAGTGACAGGAGCTGTTGTATTTGTTTTGGGTGTGTTGTCATAAACTTTGCTTACTACGTGTTGGGAGCAACTGTGCTTTTGGCAACAATAGCGGGCGGGGTTCAACCGTGCGTTTATAGCACCAATGGCTATGATGCTAACCCCGGATTAAGCACCTACCCTGACAAGAACATTACCAAATGCACCAATCATCTTTCATCCGTAGGGCTGGCAACGCCTTGGCTAATTCGAAGCAGAAGAAGTCTGGGCAGGTAAAGCTGCGGGTCTTGAGAGTGTAGAATATTTCTCTGTAAGTACCTTGTACTCTGCTCAGTACTGCAGGATTGCATAGATTGATTGTATCTTTAAAAGAGATCTGTGGCTAGGAAACAGTTAAAGTGTACTTTGCGGCAGACTATTTGGATTGAACTACATGGTACGTAGGCCGTCTGCTCGTAGCATCAGCAGTAGTCGTTCTAGTTCTCCATACCAACATACCTTGCCACACTGGTAACGCCACTGCAACGGATACCCGTTGAGGTCACAGTTCCAGATGCTAACGCCTGTAGGACCCGAACAAAATGGCAGGAACAGAATTGTTGCTGGGGCTTAGCAAAAGCGGTGGTATTAGGATAACTGTAGAAGATATAAGTCACTAACACTACTTCAACTAGACACTGTCGGTAGATGTATTAGTGTTCTTATTAGAGGGGCGCGTGGGGATGGTTCCCGGGGAAGACGATATCGCCAGCTGCACTTTTGAACGACACGAAAAACACAGTTTAGCTCTGATCATTTCTGTCATTACCTCCGCTCTATTCGTCCCTGTTCCCCACCAAGGCAGCAAAATTCTATCGTCCTCAGGCTTGATTTGAGCAAAACCCCACGTGGAGTGACAAAAAGGGTCAATGACCGATCTCGCCTTTCCTGTCTCAATGACGAAAGACCCTTGGCGCGAGGGGCAGACCATTGGCAATTGGACACCGCCGGAGACTCGGAGACTGTGATTCGACTGTTTCCTTGCTGACACGGGAGGAGCTGGGTGGCAGAAAAGATATGGTGGAATTCACGTGATGAACGAGTCGATTGCGCAATATACGCTAGCTACAAAGGTAGGATGAGAAGGGCTCTTGGAGACACCAAAAACGGCCCATAAGTCATCAGCAAATTCTCTTTTCTTCTCTCAATCCTTCAATCCTTCAATCTCTCAATCGCCAGCTCTACTTTTCAAATCTTTGCGAAAAACTCATCGCAGAGCCTCCATAAACAAGCCCTAGTCCCCATACCCCACGTCAAAAGGTACCACAGCTCCCCCTCCTTGCCCCTCCATGCCTACAATTTACCCCACCATATCCCCAAAGCAAATCTAACAACCAACGCGCACAGCACCACCACCATCACAATGGCCGAAGGACGCCCCGAGCCTCTCCGCCTGGGCAGCACCGCCCCCAACTTCAAGGCGGAAACCACCGCCGGCCCCATCGACTTCCACGAGTTCATCGGCGACTCCTGGACCATCCTCTTCTCGCACCCTGCGGACCGCACCCCTGTCTGCACGACCGAGCTCGGCGCCTTCGCAAAGCTCGAACCCGAGTTCGCGCGCCGCAACACCAAGCTCATCGGCCTCTCCGCCGACTCCATCGAGTCGCACGAGGAGTGGGTCAAGGACATCAACGAGGTGGCCGGCAGCGACCTCAAGTTCCCCATAATAGGCGACAAGGAGCGCAAGGTTGCGCTGCTGTACGATATGCTGGACTACCAGGATACTACCAATGTCGATCAGAAGGGTGTTGCGTTTACTATTCGCTCGGTTTTCATTATCGATCCCAAGAAGACTATTCGTTTGATTCTCAGCTACCCGGCGTCCACCGGTAGGAATACCGCGGAGGTCCTGCGTGTGCTGGACAGTCTGCAGACGGGTGATAAGCACAAGGTTACTACGCCTATCAACTGTAAGTTTCCCCTTCCTTCTTTTACTGCATGATTGATAGTGTGGTGGGAGTATAAGGATATCATTGCTAACAGTACATCTTGCAGGGGTTCCTGGTGATGATGTTATTGTCCACCCATCCGTTTCCAACGAGCAGGCCAAGGATCTCTTCCCTGACTTCCGCATCGTCAAGCCTTACCTGCGATTCACCCCGCTCGCAAAGGAGAAGACCAGCGCGGCTTAAATGCCTGACAAAGCTGGGGGTGCAGACTTTGTAGGAAAAAGTGTGTAGATGTTTTGGGCAAGCCTAGGAATTTAGTTTCGTCCCTTGTAGGACGCGGGCCATGATATCAAATTGATCATGATAATGAAATACATAAATCGCCAAAGCACTTTGTCCCATCTTTGTCCCATCTCTAACTGGCGATTTTTGTGAAACTACCTCGCAGTCTGCATTTCTGACACGTACTGAACCCATGTCCGATATCGGCAATGACAAAAGTCTGGAGAAATCCGGAGAAAGCTCTTGCAGACAGAAGGACTAGGTAAGCATGTAGTGTGACGTGAACGCCAAAAAAAGGGCGCCACACAAGGATAACATCTCTCAACACTTGATTCATTCATCTGACACCTCATTCCAAACCAGCTTCAAGATATCACAACAAAACATATCTCTCGTCAACAATATCCACCCTAGAAAAAAAACTGTACAAAGCACTCGGAAAACCAAAAAAAACGGTTACATCTTCCTCAACTCCACCTGCTCTATGTTAGATGGTCATTCTCCTTCTCTTCTCTTCCGTCGCCTTTAACTCTTGCCTTTTGCTCACCGTCATCATCGTCGTCATGACAAATCAAGCACCTTGCAGGCCTAGTCCGACTCCATCCCCATTACCCATACCGCCGTCATCCCTACTCCTGTCTCTGCTTCGTCCCATCTCGCGGATCCTACGGCCCTCCATCAATCCTCTGAGACCACGCTTCTGCAGTCCAACCACAGCGCTAATCTCGCCATTCCACACTTCCCTCTCTTCAATCACACTGCCGTCTCCAAGGCCGCTGTCCGATGCCGACGCAGAGGTAGATTCGGATGCAGCTGAGCTGACTTCGTCATCGTTGTTTCGCTCAATGTCGGTGTTGAGGCGGAGCGCACGTAGTCCTGCGTCGAAGCTGCGTTCGAGGTCGGTAGAGCCGGTGCTGTTGTTTAGTTGAGAGGTGGAAAAGCCGTTTGTCGTTCCGTTTGAACCGGTGACACCGTTGACGCCCATGAAAGCGATGCCTGATCCGCCGCCGGCTGCCATGGCGGCAGCATTGAAGATGGCTGCAGTATTCCGGTTGTCGAGTAAGGTGTGCAGACGTTCAATGATTGCTTCTAACAAGCCATCGATGTGGTATGGCCGCGCCAACTGGAGTAAAGAACAGAGTATCTGTGGCGAACATAGTTGCGAGTTTTGCGGTGGGAGGGATGATGTGTATAGGAAGTGTATCAGTGCTTGAAGGGTAAGGTGAGTGTGGGGAAGGAATAGTGTTCGAGGCCGTTGAGAAGGTGCGTGTGATGACGCTTCTGGTGGGCTCAGTGAAGAGTAAGAGTTTGTTGAGACTGCAGTAACCTCAGATTGTGTTATTGTGTTGGCCGTGAGTGTTGTGGCCGCTGAGTAGTTTGTTCGGATAGAAGGTGTGATGGTTATGCTCGAGTTGCGTGATGGATGCATAGTAGCTGTGGGTCGCAGCGTAGCTGCATCGGCACTCTCCTTCTCGGCGCTCTGTGCGCTCTCGCGAAGAAGCTGATTGAAGTATGGGCCCCACCGCCGAGCAATCATATGCGAGTTGACGGGGATGCGTTCGCCATTCAAGGCAAGAAAGTCCATGTCAGCAAACTCCCGCATGCCCAGAGCCATTTGTCCAAGTTCGGTTGCTGCAGGTAAAAGTGTCCGGCCGCCAGCAAGCACGTCAAGTCGGTCATGCAGTGGTGGCGCGCTTACAGATTGGAAGCCTGACGCGGGCGTAACTTTACGTGGGTTGTCGTACAATCCGAATGCTTCCAGTTCCACAACACACATGTTCGAGAAGTTGATACGTCGATGATTGTAATCCTCAACCAGACTTCTCTTACGGTTGCCCAGAATCACAAAACTGTTTCTACGATTCCACAACACGCCTCTGTTCCAACTTCCTTGGCTGAAAATATTGCCTCCAGCTTCTATTCGCCCCCAGCTTAGTGTACGCAAATCAAGCGCCCACAGGGCGTATTCTTGCTTTGATGAAGTTAAAAATGTGCCACTGACTACAAAGTGATTGTTAATAATACCACCATTTGGAAAGCGGAGCCCAGGCGGCGAGAAGTTGCCATGCATTGGCTTTTCAGAAAGAGTGCCGTCGGAATGCCGTACTTGCAATTCAAGCTTAACATCCAGAAAATTGTAGTTTGAGTAAATGAGCATCGAAGACTCGTAGCTCGTGCTGTTCTCCTGTTCGTCGGGTGCTCTTCCTTCGTCACCAGGCCGTATTCCTTCGCCAATATCACTTGGGTGTATGCTGGTTAATGGCGCGACCACACTTCGATATGCACCGCAGCTTCTACCAAGTGTGCTAGTTCCTGTCCACTTGAGGCTTCGCAAGTTGAAAACACTAATTTGTTCAATATAGTGGTTGGCACTGTCTTGGCCGCCCACCACTAACATTTCCGCGCCACCATCGCCATCTAGATCAACGCCGAGCGATCCTTGGTTTGGATTCGATGAAGGCGGGTTGTGACGTATAGCGGTTACTGCAGCGCTCGTTGAGCTGAATACGGCCGAACTCGGCAGAATGGTGGCGCAATGAGCATATCGACCTTGTGGCGCGTCGCTCGTAGCAATATGCATCCATGTTCGCGTAGGCGCATCGTAAATGTGAACGTCTGACATGACCACAACTTCAGGCTGGGCATCAGCAGGCGCGCCTTGTATTACGGAAGTGGCTTGGTTTGATGAGGTATTGGCAGGCGACATGCCACCATAGCACACGAGCTTGGTATCTCCTAGTGCACAAACGCTGTGAAAGTACCGTGGTGGCGGTATGTCGCCTTTGGTTTCCACCTTTGTCCAGTGTCGCTTAACAAGGTCCAGTTCGTACAAGTCCGACGTCAGCTGTGGCCTTGTTCGTGATAGTCTTCGGCCGCCAAAGACATAGAGTTTGTCGCCCAAAATAGTCGTGGTTGCGCCAACAAGCGGATGTGGCTCTCTGCCAGTAGTCCTGTGTACATTGCATACTAACCCCGATAGCCCTGCTGTGGAGCTTGCGGGTGTGCCTAAACCTGCGAGCGTGGCTGGCGATTGGGATACAGAGCCAGGCGTCCGGGTGGATGCGGTCGAGGGGCGCTCGGTCCCGCCATCCTGGATATCTTGACGGTTTAGACTTGTTTGACTGCTGTTCCGACTCGCAATGTAAGGCGCCGACGTCTGAGAATCAATGGTGTTTGTCCGGCTCTGAGACATGCTGGCCGGACTCGCGAATTCGTTTGGGATTTCTTGTGTTTGTTCAAGGTGAATGGGGAGGTCGAGAAGTGGCGATGGAAATTGTTGTACAGGTAGAGCCAGAAATGGAATCAGGGCCTCTGCATGACGAGACTGGACGCAAAAAGAGTCGCTCAAAGATTTGCCGCTCAGGGCAGGCTGACCGGATGGGTTGGGAGCACTGCTCGAATCGATAAGCGATGCTCGGAAAGATTTGAATCTAATGCTCGTACAGGCGCGTTCAGGTACTACAACTGGATCATAGCGCGCATCGGCGAGAGGTATTGTTGATTGTGCTCGGACGTCACGTGAACGTCTCTTGTTCAATAAGACCCTTTTGATGTTCAACCCCTTCTGCCTTCTCCAGAAAGATGAAACGTCACCCAACGGCCCGACACTAGCGCCAACAGAGGGGTAAAAGAGACCTAACGACAAGACCATGGTTAGCGATGGAATTCGAGCAAGAGTAATGAAATGCAGAGGGGCGCTGAAAGAGAAGTTTCCGGCTCTTGAAGTAATCCGACAGTGCTAGCTGCAGCCCTTCTCCGATGCAGATTTGCATGCAAGGTCTCAACCACCACCGCAGCGCACTGCCTGGGATGAGCAGCCATGCTTTCGTATTGGGGCAGGTGACTTTGCTGTTGTGCTACTCTTTTGTGGTACCCAACCTCTTGCCTGGAGGAGCGCCTCAGGGTAAGACAGGTCGGTCTTCTAGCACGGCAGAGAACAATTCGGTGCAGTGCAGCCGCAAATGGTGGTGGTTCCCGACTTGATCTCATACTTGCATCTGGGCGGTGGGCGTCTGATGAAGGGGCTGTTGAAGACTGGACAAGGGAGCATGTATGAAGAGCAGAGATAATAAAAGCCTTACTTGATAATGCGCCACACAGGAGCGGGGAGGGATGCGATCCAGCAGGACGGTAAAATGTATGCAGAGAAGGAAGAGGCGGTAGTCGGACGGGTAGTCTTGCTGGACTGGCGCGTACAGATGACAACGAGGTTCGTGCCCGAGTGTGGAGCGCGGAAACCGTCTAGGCCGGATGGGGACTGGCGGCTTGGCGACTATCGCAAAGAGAGGCCTAACTAACGAGACGTCGTTGCTCAAGGGTCTGGAAGGACTTGGAGACAGACTGGAGGTAGCTGAAGGCTGAATGAGATGAGGCGGAATAGAACACGCCACGCAACGGCGGGGCCGGACGAAAACAGAGGGTCTAGGTCTAGGGGAAAGTTAAAAAGGCGGAGACTCGACACTACGTCGATGCTTGTGACCGACAACGTTCGCAAGGCCGTAAACAGCTCCAACACTCGGACTTGGGCACGCGAGGGCGTTGCACAGCTTTTGGCTCTCCCGGGCTTCTTGCAGAGAGTGCTCACCCTCCTCTTGGCCCTTCAACCGGCTGGGCACGGTTGCAAAAGCAATTAGCGCGCCAACGCTGCGGGACAAATCAGCTGTCTCCAGCCTACAAGACGAACGACGCCAGTCGCGCACGAGGCTCATCTAGGTGTTGATATCGGTGAAGACGGCACCGAGCGGTCAATATTGAGCAAACGGTCGGGATGTCTCTGGGAGCCTCGCTGCCGCTTTCTTGCATCCAGCCTAGTCGTGGGTTTCGGTTAATCATTGCTGTTCGCTGGCAAGGAAAAACGATGCTGGATCCCAATTCCAGAAGGATTCTGTGCCGTGCCGTAGTGTCATGGTCCATTCATAGACAACCTTGTTCCTTGATCACCTCAGCTCAATCTCAAGCAGCCTCGGGGGCGACATACAGTTATCGTACGTTACTAAACAAATGCCAAGGCTTTGTATGAAGCGCGCGGTTGTTGGAGAGCAAACGTTCCATGCCGGGCTAACATTGTCGTGGTCCTGTAGTACCGCCTGCCAGGTACAGGGCTGCCGTGCGGCTGCACGAGTCGAAAGGTTGTTATAGTCTCGGGAAGCTTCTGGGAGCGACAAGCAAATGTAATTGGACTCGTATTGGTCTTGGCGTTGCTGGTAGTCTCGAAGATTGCCGTTGGCTGCGCGCAGCTGGGATGCGACTAGTCTAGGTTCAAAAAACAGGAATGAAACAGACATATACAGCTGAACCCATTATGCGCTAACCAGCTGCAGAGCACTATCTTTCAGCTCACTTCAGCGCTGACATAATGACGACGTAGTGTTCAGCGAACGCGTAGCGTGCAATACGAATGCGCAGGCCGAAGTGAAGCAAGTGCAGCCAACTATTGACTAATCGCTTTTGTAACGCCTCACCATCAATGTCGGAATATTTTGTTGCCAAGAGTATCTCACTCGATAGAATGATGTATTCAATTTATGTACAATAACAACGCTATATCGTTCTTCTCTATCTTTCTCGCTGTCCATATTGGCATGCTTTCATGCCGTGTCGCTCATCTAATCGCCGCCAACAATCTCCGAACCCATGTCAAGAAGTCCAGGAAAATGGTGAGTGGTCAACACTGTCTCTATCTAAGTTTCCAAATGCTCCCAATCATACAGCTCGGTCTATTCATCTCTTGGTCGTATTCAAAACCACAAACAGAAGTATTGGCGGGCTATGGACCGCATCTTCCGCTAGTGATTGACGCAGCTTTGCGGCAGTCCCGGTGGTACCCAGTAACAGGCATGAACGTTGACAGCTCATCTGTACTGAGCCCATTTGCAGCCAGGATGCAATAGATACAATCGCACGTCCGGCGCGGTGCCACTGCCGGCTAGTGACGCAATGGCCACATCTGCTCTGGTATGTGTAGCATTGGAGTCTCTGCTTCGTCTTCATTTACTGATATGCATCCCCTCTTTCAGATCCTTGTCCTTGCAGGCTCAGGTGTTCTCGGTGTGTAAGGCGGCGGAGCCTCATCTCTCTTTGCTGCCCTCTCATTCCACGAACACTCTTTCCTCCAGTTTTGATCGGCTCCAGCCCCGAGATTCGTATCGCCCATCGGCCTTGTCAGGGGTAGCCTCGCTACAACAGGAAATCCAGAGTCATTCCTTAGAAGCCTCAGTTCCCTGTAGGGATATTTGGCTGTAGCTTGGGCGCGCTCATGGGCTCTGCGGCGGGCTCTTTTCACTATACATGCGAGGCCAAAGCCGATGAAGAGGAAGGCGGCCACAAAAGTGGAGACAATAAGAAGGACAGTGCGGTGGGTGGAGCACTGGCTGGAGTAGTTGACTTCGCAAGAACTTGAGCGCTTTTGGATGATGGTAGGGAGATTGATTGTAGGAAAAAAGTTGTGGGGTAAGTTGCTGGGAGCCATTGTTTGTGTATAGTAGTGGGGCTGGTGGCTGTCGGGATAGGAAACAGCGGACAACGATGTAAATGTTGGTTCGAAAGGGAAACAAGACAAGTTTCCCTTGAAATAAACGATACAGAACACAAATAAAAGGAATGGTCGATAAAGAGAGGCCTCTTGCAGCGCGAGCGTATCTTTTACATGTCCTGCTCTCTACCCGCTGGCGTGGAGTGCATAGGCGCCCTACCCCTACCTATGATGCGCAGCCTCGCGGCAACGATGCGCAGTTTTGTTTCCTGCCTGCCTTAACGACAGCGCCTAAATAAAGCTTAGGTTGACTATGCGTTAAGCCTCTTAATGCGGCGCCTAATATTAGTTTCATTCCATGGGTTGGTGTGAGGTCGCTTTAGTTGTTGCACTGCCCCTCTCCACCGCGTTCGCCTTGGGGGCAGCCTCGTTACACGAGCGAGGCGCCGCGGTCTTTGTCTGCCGATGGGCGATGCATTGTCGGAAGCTCTGCTTCTACTTGTTCGTTTTTCGATGCACAATGAAGATTGTTGGGAGCTACAGATAAAGATACTTGTCGTGTCAGGTTGCTGTGAGAGCAAAGGTGCTCTATGCAGCCGTTTCCTGTCTAAGTCAGGTTGGGCAAGCATTCAACGAAATTCAGTCCTTGTCGAACTGTTTAATGGTCGAGAACACCTGATATGAAGAAGTTTGCCTCGTCTGGTGCTGCGCAAAGATTTCCCATCCCGGCACTCTGCGCTTCACTGTGCCGTTCACCTTGTTCGCTGACCGGCGCCTTGTAAGACGTAACTATGCCGCGTGCTAGGGTTGAGACATGCCCCCTCACCACACAGCAGCGATATGCGGACACGAGGTATCGTACGATCAGGTGAATGCGAAAGTTTGCCTTAGGCAGCCCCTGAGGGGGCCGCGGGATAATCAGACCCTAAGGCTCGACGATGTAGTTGAGGGCTCAGTTGGTGAGGCCCCTCAGGTATCGCACGCTGAATCGGTGGAGGGCTTTCCCTACGTATTGCCAGAACAGTCGAGAGGCAAGTAGACTCAGACTCGCCACATACAACTTTGCAGTTATGGTTATGATGAGTCGTCCCTCGTTGTGTCGTTGCATTGAAACACAGATTGTATGCTTGTGGTGTGCCAGCTGGTAAATTATCCCGTGGTATCTGGAATATCGTTCCTGCGCATCTGCACGGCAAAGACTGTTCAGAAAAGAGAGGACACCATACCGTCCTCAAAAGCGAGTGTAATTAGATGACCGAACGCCATTCAGCACAGGGAAAAAGGCTGTATATACGCTGTTGTTCAAAGCGCATACTGGTGGCCCTGTCTAGATTTGTTACATGCGCTCGCCGCACATCGCTTCGGCTGTACATGCTCCGTGTACTATGTTCGCATTCGTCTCGAGCCCCACATACCTTGTTGGCATATAGTTCCAGTTACGAATGTGATCTGGCTGATGTCCCCGGACCTCACCTCCAAGACCCCACGGCGAGCTCCCGGAATGCCCAATTAGGCAACATCCGAAAATGCCGGACACAGTTCCCCGCAAACACGCCCTGAGCTCTACCCCAATAGTGCCATATATGCAGACAGGAAAGGGTGGCCACGGCCAGACTCGCTTCAAATGAAACGGATGACCTGAAAAGGCGTCTGGGACCGATATAGTATAAACCCACAATAGCCCCATCTTGCGTAGAGCTTACCGAACGATCGCGCGTTAT